GACAGCTTTTAACATTATCATTTATTCAATAGATGAGATTATTTCCTCGAATACTTCCAACAACTCTTCAGCTAGCTATGTATGTTTGGTTAAACTATATGACATTGAGCTTTCGAATCATAGGTTCAAATGATCATTTTACCGAACCCCATCAGTTTTCAACCAATTTGTAAACTTGAAGATAATAGAAACAGACTTGATTAGATATTAGGAGTTGGAATTAAAATTAAATACTTTTCTATATTATATGTGAATATAATACACAGGCCTACTAAAACTGTTTTCAATGATCTACGTAAAGCAGTGTTAAATGCTTGAAAGCAGTTAATGAAAAGTTTTGGGTTTAGATTTCATTTTAATTTGTACTTATCAGCAAATTATGTGTACAATGTAAGCCAAAATATGTCCCAATTTAAATATTTTAAACTGAGTCTTTCGAGGCTATAAAACAGAGAAAAACTGTACAGACAATTTCAGGTTATGGTTTATTAACATAAATGATTTTTCGAAATCACGAACCAGTCTAAGTTGGATAGCAATTAAAAACCTGGAAGCAATTGACACACGTTTCGTTCTAGTATGAGACTCTTCAGCAGTGCACATCCAAGAACTCACGACCTGGAATTCATATACATCACTGTCTCCTGGCTCAACGGCTTAGAGTCTAGGCACTGACGCTTGAGGTTGAAGGTCCTGGGTCCGATTCAGGTCCGCGGAGATGGATGCACACTGATGAGGAGCTCCATACCAGAACAAAATAGCTCTTCAGTGCTTCCACATCTCATTGGTTATCTAACTTAAATCAGTCTGGGGTCCAATAGAATTCTACAGTGTCTAGAATTCCATACAGAAAAACAATACTATTGCAATTCTTAATAGCCATAACAGTTTAAAAACTCAGAAATCAATAACGGTGTCATAGAAATCCTTCTAAAATAGCCAGAATTTCTTCTCGAACATCTTACTATAACGTTCAAATAAATACTGAAAAATATAGTATCAAATTATTTGCATAAAGTTTAACGTTCAGTAATTGTTAGTAGGACAAATTGTTGGCGAATTCATAAAATACTACTCAGAAATAATTACAGGAAAACCAGTTTCTTTTAAAATCATCTAACAATGTTCAATTACTTCCTCTAACTTAGAAGTTTTAAAAATCATCAATGTATATTTTTTACAGAAGTAGATTCTAGATACACACATAACATAAAGTTAGTTAAAGCGGTATTATAACGCAATGGTATTTGAAATAAAAATCGTATAATTATTAAATATTTTGTCGGATTTTAATAAATGAATAATATAGAGCTGCCGAGACATTTCATCTTGTCTTAATGTAAGACTGTTTTTTATCACATAATGACATTTTATTGAACATCACTTATTGTTTTTTTTAACAATTTTACCGAATATACCAATGGATTAGCTTTCTAAATTATCGATTCACAACTACTCAATTACTATCTACCTTTTGATTCGCTCAACCCATTGATTATAATACTAAATTGACTGTTCGACAACGGTAAACAAATTCGTAAAACAAAGCGAGACCTTGTTTAGTACACAATTTTTATTAAGTGCCTGCTATATCTTTCCAGAACATTATCAATATAACATTTAACAGATAGTTTTATAACTTGATCTGATTGAGAATATATGTTTTAGCATTCTACTCCGTAAGAAAAAGCCTTTCATAAAGTGATTTTATTTAAATAATTTTACTGTGGAAAGTTATATTATTACTTAACCCAATCGTTTAGCTTTAATCAACCAGGTAATGAATCAGGCAAATAATTCGTCGAATTTCGGTAATTGACATCACTATGATGTTGGCAACCGGCAGCAAGATATAGATCTTAGCTGGAGGTTATCATACTGAAAAAAATTGTTTCTTTTCATGAGATTTTGATCCCGGTTACCCACTGTCGTGACGAAAGGTGTTGACGCTGAGCTACTTGGAAATCGGCTTATCATCTGTGGGACTGGGGTATTTACATAGATTGGTCGATAAATATTAACCAATGTAAAGTTTGTCTAGCCAGTACTGCTAGCTGAGCTTTATCAATCAAGTTGATATTATTCTTACTGAGCAAAGTGCAAACTCAAAAAGCACACTGTTCTATTTCAAAACTCAAAAAACATTTTTTTTACCACTAGTTTTAAATGTTTTGTCACTTACTTACAAGAGTAATTTAGTCAGTCAAAGATGATTACTGAACGTTTTAGAGCTGTTGATAAACACCATTCGCATGTATCTACATGGTTTGTAAGAGTTTGAAAAGCTTGAAAGTTGTATAACGTACTTTCAATTAACATCGTTTGGAAAGCTGTTAAAAGATACAAAATTACCGTGACCAGCTTTCCCGAACTCTTGTTGATAATGCACAGACTATTTTATACCGAAGTGGACTTGCAGTTTTCACGTTTTGAAGTATTCTTTATAAGCTCAGGCTATAAAGTTGGAGTTTTATATGTCATACCACCTAACGCTAATTTATTTAGTAGACCAGTCTCGATTCAAAGTTATCAGTAGATATGCGCATAAAATTAAAAAAATGTAACTGACTAGTAAATCTTAGTCTAAAGTGATTTGAAAAAGAATACTAGTTCACGACTAAAAGCTGTTGTTCGTGGAAACCATTTATAGGGAATTAAAGGTTATTGCATGTAGTGGTAACGGAAGACAAATATTTGATAGCATGAACTAAACCCAATAAGAATAAGGCGGACTGTTCCCATTTAACCTTAATGATATATCTGTTACAATATTCGTTGGTCCTCGATTTATGTCACTGTGATCTCTTGAGAACAAAATGTAAAGTTGTCTAAAAATAAAACAAAACACTTACTAACCGCTTCACAAAGGCTAATATCTCAATACTGTGTATTAAGCTGGGATTAAAGTTTACTTACATTTATCATTCATAAACACAAATGTATTACCGTAATGATATCTTGTTAATATTAAGAACTTTTAGAAAAGATAGGAAATATTTGAATTCACGATTTTTCTAAACTTTTTTTCAAATGATTTAACTAATGAAATTAATTCTGATAGTTGCGTAGTAGAATTTTTGTTGCCTAAATAAAAACAAATCACGACTCTAGGAACAAGTTACAATGAATAAGAACTTAACCGTGTTTTAGAATAAGTTTGTAACGTTGGATGATGTCGGTATAACATTTTCATGGATTTATGATGAAATGATATTTTACAAGCAAACATCAATATGGAAACAATGACGGTTATTTTTGAATGTCTTCATAATATTCAATTTATTGTTGGATGATTAATCTATAAAATTTTAATTTACTAATAAAACAGTTTTTCTGGTATAAGAGGAGGGTTTAATATTCAATGTGATCAATACTCGTACGTAGTATTTCTTATTAGTTCTGAATTAGAAGTTTTTGTTTGATAAAAAAAAGTGGTGTTGATTTGGTTTTACACTTATTTTGTTTCAAATTAAACACAGATTTTCTCATAAAATAATACCAGATTTGAAATGACGTAACAAGTATGTTCAAACCATATAAACCTCCAAAAACACCCACCCTAATAATTCAAAGATATATTTCCACAGATGGTGAATTTCTGTGAGTTCTGGTATAAAGTAATGACTTATGGAAATAATTAGTCGAAAAGAATAAAAGGCAATAAATTGATGAATGCAAAAACAAAATTTTAAGTAGAATACCATGAATTTATCTTATTTCTTTTACCATGGGGTATGGAAAGAATGACATGTTTCACTTCAGAAGATTGCCATACAATAGAGGGAAGACAGAACAGTCCAATGTTTGGTTTATCGGAGAAGTACTTGAAATGGTCTTCGCCTAAATTGTAATAGTTTTTGTCTAATCAGTTACGAGAAAGTGTGTCAAAACACTATTTTATAGAGTAGCAAAGATATGTACTACTGACAAATGAAAGGGGAGTTGATGAACGTAGGAAAATACCTAAGATACAAGTGCTACTCACAAGAATTTATTGATAACTGTGAAAAAATAAATAAAACAAGACGAATATAACTATAGTCAATAAAAAACCAATATTTTATGAATCTCAACTTTAAAGTTGGTGATTTCTTGAGAAAAATTAGAAGGAAGCTTAACACTGCCATAGACAGAACTTTCCTAGCAGCCAAAACTATTAGTACTGTGTAAAACAACATGTTCAATAACCCAGTCCTTTCTATATAGTTTTTAGAACTGGGAAAAGTTAACTTTTATCGAAGCTTATTAGTTTCCAACCATTCCGTAACTTCCTTTTAATTGCTCAACTTATCCACTATTGCATTTCTTGATGTGAAGAATTTAAATATTCCTTCACAATGGTTATGGTTTCCTATTTTTTGAGTGTTGTACAAATGATATTATTTATTCGATGAAGCATGTTCTTAATATAATTTACAAAGCTGTGTTTTTACGAACTGATAGTTTCTAGTGTGTTTCACTCTCTCTCTCCAAAGAGTGGTGAAGATAAAGTTTACACCCCCCCCACTCTTGCACTTATACAATCGTTCTGTTGAGCACTGATTTGCTGTTTTTTAAGGTAAAGGGAAATATGACTTATAACACAGCTTGTTTTCGTTAAAGATTGGTATTAGCTAAGTACATTCTACAAAGTATAGAGTAATTTTGTCCTAATATCCGATTTATTAGCAGTACCCACACAATACTCAGCCTGAGTTTGAACCTAGAAACTTCAGGCTTCACAAAGAATGTAATGAACATATTAGGATCAAGTTGTCCAAATTACCAACTCCAGTCAAGTTGAGATGTAGTGTGGACATCATTTATTCTCTCTGGTGGATAACTGTTTAATTATGAATATGATTTATCTCCACAAGTCGCGACTGAGTACCTACTTAGTTTAACTCTCTTTGAAAAATGATAAATAAATGAAGTGTACTAGTCATTCCTTATTCGTAGTAATTTTCTGTATTGCAAGGGATAAATCTGATTTTTATAGTTAACCTCGTCAATTCTTATGAAATTCATTCATGTATTGCAAACACTTTTTTTATCAGACTGTTATTATGATCATAGAATACAGAAAATATTTTAAAATGAAATGAGTTCACTCTTGAGTAGTCCCAATTAATCAATAAACACTGCTGAACTCATATCTAAACATTGATATTTTTCAGCTAGTATAGACCTTGTACAATGTAAGAAATATCAATAAGCCATTGTAAACTGAATATCCCAAAGAAACTGAAATTTTCACATAACTTCTCTTTATCGATTTTCGACACAAAATCTCTTCTAACATAAATGCAGTGACAACTGTAATAAGTGGTCAAAAATATCAATACATGTAGAGTTTATTACTCCAAAACTATAGTCTTTTACTCAAACCACTTCATTTATTAAATTATTACACTACGTTATTTTGTTTAATCTAGCGAGGATTTATACAAATGTAAACTAGTAACACTAGATTTCATGTTTGTTGTAGTGCACATACAATAATTATGAGCGTTTACAAGTTATAGAATTCATTCAGTCTGGTTTATCGACTGTATAAAAATTCGAATGCTCCCTAGCTTATTGAATTTGATTTGATAAAATTAACTTTAACTCTGTCACCCGAATGTTGCAAATCTAGCGTTTAAATGAACGAATTGCACAGATCCATAGGATAATATAATTAGAAATGTCAAAACAAGATTTATAGATCAAAGTACATGTCCAGTGGTAATAAATTTCCTTCAAATTCAAAAGTATATACATTCCTTATAACAAAAGCATTTTAATTATCTTTATGACTTTAAACAATGATTTACATCTTCGTATTTCTATAAATTTATTACAGACACGAGGATACTCTACTTCGCAATCGTTTAGTGTATACGAAAATGTTGGTTGGGGTGAAGAGTTCGACTCATCTAAATATGATTTAAATGATCCGATGTCAACTTATACTTACGAAACACAAGGTCAAGTTCATTTAGTTGAAATTGATAATTCAACTGAAACGTACTTAAATAGGAATACAATTGATGATAAAGAAACTTCTTATTCAGAATATGGTTTATTAACTGAAAGATCAGTAACAGCACAACCAGTATTGCCTAATCAACGGGAGATGATTGCTTAACAAAGAAATATCCTAACTATATAATAATAAAAATTAGCAGATATACGTTCAATTTACTAAGTCAATTTATAATACTTTTCCTAAAATTACTATACACATAAAACTTGGCTACATATCAAAACATTTTTTCAATACAGATACAACTAATCAATCTATTTCTTGTAAAAACTGTCTGGAAAACATTTCTGAAAGCACAAGTTATTAATCACCATCATCATCATCATCATGATACAACAATTATTTTAATTTGCTTCTTTCAAGAAAGTTAAATAGTAAGAAATAAACCATTTCCTTCCTTGTATAATATTCAATAATAGATTATATATGAATATTCTTAAGTTTTGTTTTGCTTCTATGTTTATCTTCCCTGTTTCTTATTTTGCGCTCTGACTTTATTTTAATCAATTCTATTATTTAACATTACCAAAGTTCAGATAAAGTGATTAATTTATAAGTTTCCTTATGATTTCATTCTATTTCATTTTGTTTACAGATGAAAAAAAAGCATACTATTTATTAGATTGAAAATGGAAATAACTAATTAATTGAAAATGATATGTATCTTATATTTTAAAATCTTTTGATTCGCACTTCATTTTTAAACAAACTACACAAATCACTATTGTGTTTCTGTATGAATAAATGTATCTACAAATAACAGACAGGTTTATTCTTCACATTGCATTCAGCTTATGCAATATTTCTATATTTCTATAAACTGTAAAAAAAAACAAGAGTTAGAAACAAAAAAATCGTCTTTCATTATAATACAAACTGCCTTCTGTTCTGTACTGTTTCTTTTAGTCTAATTATCGAATAGGGTTTATGGTAAATAGATTTTGCGTCTAAAAATGATTTGTATTGTATTGTGTACTGGAAAACATGAAGTTGCTTAACACTTTCAAATCATTCTCATTACGAATCGCCATTGAAAGTATATAGGACCATATATTTGCTGTTTTGTTTCATATTCAGGTCTTTATTGATTTTTAGCTGATCTTAGACTGCGATTTAAAATATACTTGATAAAATTTATTTTTATCGAAGCCTTATTCAATAGTAATCCACCTCGTTATAGGCTTGTTTTGAAATGAGTTTGAAAAAGCTTAGGCCGGTAATCTCCCTCCCTAAAGTCTAATAAATTTAAAGGAAGTTGTGTGCACATCGATGATATTCGGTGATGACTGTGTTCCGTTGCTAGATGCTGAGGTTGCAAAAGCTGACCCCTGTATTAAGCGACTGAGTAATATCTTACAAACTGTGAGAACTGGAAATCCTGGATTTAACCCTGAATAAGCATTGCTGATGTAATAGATTCTACGATGGAACAGCTTTTCAGTACTGGACTTTCAATAGTAATCTAGCTGACATCAGTGAATTTTTAAACCAACCTTTATATTGAAAGAATATCGAAAGAAACACAATCGGACCACAAGTTCCACGACACGTTATACATTTACATACGCATGTTATGTTTTCTTATTTTGTTCAAGCAAAGTGTTCGACATTTAGAATCATTAATTTACTAGCGATCCTGGACCTAAACTATCTGTGTGGTTACGATCGCCGAATGTAACCGTTAATAATTATCAAACTCTTAACATCAGTTTCTTGCACGTTTACCAATAAGTGCTATATTTCATAGCTTCAGAAAAGCAAACAGATGTACTACAGTAATGTAGACTTCAAATCTGTGGTAGGTAATATGTTTGACGAGCAATTTCTTAAAAAATCTTTTATAGATAACGAGCACCAACAAACTATCAGTCAGAATCGCCTGAAAAAGAGTACCTGCTTAGTCCCCAATTAGTGTTATGGATAAGATTCATATACTCAGCTTCGTACATCACTGGTTTTGTGAGAGATAGTGTATTTACTTTCCAATTGTCCAAACCTATGTAGATAGAGAGCAGTTCGAACATCTGACTCAGCGACTGAAAGTTGAGTGGCTTCAACATTATGAAAAATTTACAAATGTTACTTAGACTATAAATAATGAAATAAGTATTTTTAGAATTCCAACCAACCTCTTATTACCACACAGATGACGAAAATAAATGCTACATGTCTCCAATATTGGAATTACTGATTTTTCACAAAGTTTTAAGGGATACATTTTGACGAAAACAATCAACAGGGTTATTAGCGAGAAAAACATTAAGCTACGATAAACTTCAGCAGGGAATACACTCGACCAATTACACAATTGACTTTATACTGAAATTAACGAGTTTTAGTATGCGTCAATTCTGTAGATTCTAACGGGTGTTGTATACTTTCAAATTAAAAGGAAGTTTAACTTGAATATTTTTATCAATTTCTTTCAAATTTTATAGAAAATGTGGTTACGTAGCAATTAACCAGAATTTGAAGAGTTTACATAATTTTTTGAGAACTAAGTGAATGAAAAAACCGATGAATGAAGGGGTGATTTTGGTGTACATAAAATAAGAATTAGTTTGGCCAAGACCACATAATAAAATAAGCACTATTAAAGTACTGATAATAATAATGACAATAGTAATTTACTAAGGTTCGAGTTTCTTTATTGTTGCTGCTTCAGTAAACCGGAGACGCAGCGCTTTTTGTCCACTGATAATTATAGAGGATTGTGTACTGTCAGTGGTGTGCTCAGTATCAATCAAATGCCGAGCTATTGCACAATATGAAGCCATAGTGACTATCAGTCTCAAATTCCCTGAAACGTGATAGAAAGTGTGAACCTATACTCTTTTCTTTGTTCTTCCGATGCATGCACTTTGAGACGTACATGTATACTCTTAAATTCAATTGGAAGTACTGAGAAAAATGGACCTGTCAATTTTTGTATGTTTGAGTGGGCAGTTCATTTCATATAACTTCGTCGGTCCTGCCGATGGATAAGCAACGTTCATCGCAGCATCTATCCTAAGTTTCATCATTTCAGTAATTTCATTTCCTTTGAAACGCAGATATGAAAAACAGGTTTTCTTTCCTACTGTATCTTATTTGATACGTCCGTTGGTTTTTGTATACTTCTCGATGAATTTTGCTGGATATGCATTTTCACGCAGGCGGGTTGTAATGAAGGTAAGTTTTTCTTCCAGGTTTTCCTTTGAGCAAGTTTTACGAGCGCAGTCAGAAACGGTTCATACAATCCAATTGTTGTAACCTATTGGACAGAAGCTGTTGTAATTTAGATAAACTCTAATCCATGCACTTTTGAGGTGCATGTGTCTTCGTAGTATGTCATCTGAAGTTCGCTTGATTCCAACATCCAAGAAATGGAATTTACCTTCCACTTCATGTTCCATAGTAAAACCTATGGTTGTATGTTTTGTTAGACAGATTGAGTAGGTACACGGAATGCTTCCGATTGTTGTAGACATGAAATGTCTCATTAATGTTTACAATACAATGTACTTCCTTCGGTTGTGCACTTACGCTTCATCTGTTTAAGGTTCCCTATAAATATATCACCCAGAATTGGGCCCAGGGTGCTACCTATGGATGTTTCATCAATTTGATGTGTTTCAACCAAGTTACAAACACAAACTTCTTACATTTAATTAACTTTAACCAGATAAAGGAAAAAGACCCAATGTAGGAAGTCCTATTAACCGACCACTGATAAGTTCATGTGTGTTTAGTGGAAAGATAACCCAGAGAGTATATATAGTAGTAAGTTTTGGATAGATTATCCAGCTACGCAATGTAAAGTAATCATGTTGGGATTCATTTTGACATACAACCTTGACAAGACATATTTGATTGTAACTGTTTCGAAATTAGATTATCATGAGAATAGCAGAATGGATTGACAAGTGACAATTGAAGGTAATCGAAAGATGTGTCAATAACTTCAAGGAAACTCAGATCTCCATCCAGTATTGTTGATTTAATGATTACGTGTCTTCGTAATTTACATCAAGGACTGATCTTACTTAGTCAACAACTGGAAACCAGGAAGTTCTGATGAGTTGTTTCGTCCTAGTATGGAGCTCTTCATCAGCGCAGTCACGACTCCAAAAGCGATCGAACTCAAGACCCTTAGTTTTGCGACGAGCACATAACCCTTAGATTACTGAGCCGGCATCCAATCAGGTGTCTGGTTAATTAGATAGTGAAATTTCTGAGGGTAAATAAATGCATTTAACATCTGTGCATGTGTACTGACAAGCACAAAATATGGAGCTACTGCCCGATAACTTCTATCCATCTAAGATTAAATTAAATAGACTGTAACACTGAATAAAACTTTGATCATAACATTGTAAACTGGCTAAACGAAATTCAGTTATCAGCGACTAAATGATACGGCTCTTGATACTGACCAGTTACAGACTAAAGAATCATAGACTGAGGTTACAGTGACGGGATAGTGAAGACGAAGGAAATATAGGGAAAAAAACATATGTAACACTACACTAATCAGAAAACGAACTATCAACCATTTCGCATAATCTCCACGGTACACTATAGTAACACTGAATAACTTAAGAAGTTATTTAACTGACAAGTTTCTCGCCAACACTTATTTTTGAGCAATTAAATCTTGATTTATTCATCAGAAACTAGATTTCATGTGCCGAATAAGTAACTCAAAACAGCTAGTCAATAAAAACGACTTTCTATTTAAAAATAGAAAAATGATTATTTACAACCAAGCAAGTTTCTGTCTATCCATTGAAAATTTATTGGTTTGTTGTCCAGAAAACTTCATCATATTGTCTTCTTAAATTCAACTTCCAATTATCCTCAACTGAGTACAAGTCAAATAAATCACTCCCATCTAAAGGAATACAACGAAATAAGTTTTTTGAGTACTGATTTTTTCAGCTAAACATTCTAAAATTTACTTAATTGCCAGTAAAATGGGATGCGATAAATACAAATACGTACCTATAAACAATTAACCTGTGAATGGAAAAACTGTATACTAGTTACTTTCTTGTGGTTTACGACTCTATCAACGTAATTCAACTGTTATTGGTCAGATTGGACACAACTAGTGAACAATTATAAAAGCCAACAAAATATGTATAAAGCCAAAAAATAAGCGTAGATCAATTTACCATATATTCCAAGCTAACTCATCAAGAGATGACCTCTTGTTTAACCTACAAGTGGACTTCAAGGAATCACTAGACTATTCGGTTTGCTTCGTTACCGAATGAAAATATTTTGTTTGTTTTTTCAAAATGAATATACTCAATAATTCGGTAACTTAAGTCAAGATCATTTGCTGAAAAAAACCGAGCCAAACAACTAACAATCACCAGACTTAGATATAAGTTTTTTACATTAAATTTAATTGACTACAACTTGATTCCACGAAAATTATTAGGAAAAATAATAAGATATAGATGCTTACTTCCTCCCTGCAAAAAAAACGTTCTAATCATAGCATGTGCTGGAAGCGTATCGCGATGATATTGTGCAAGATCAGATTTTTTGGATGTATGAGAACTCTTTAGACTGGAAGACACTATTAGTTTACAGTTATGACCGTGCTCAGTCTCTTTCGTAAAACTATGGATAAATTGTCGAGTATCTTCTAGTAGGTTAGTTAATCTAATGATATATGATGCGTCATTATCCTAAAAGAGAGTAGATTTAAACAAATATTATTATGCCTTAATGGTAAGTTAAGCAATTATCATCGTGTTCACAGAATAAAGAAGTACTGTTAAAAGTATTAACTTTTAGTCAATCAAGTAACCCGTGAAGGATTAATTAATTCTACGCTGAACTAAAAATGAGAACAGAACCATTGAAAACAAAGAGTGTCGGACATGTTCAGTCTCTAGCAGTAAGCAATCTAAAACTAATGAATGATCGACGTTAAGAAATACACATGGATTAAGGATGATCACAATCTTTAACTTTAATCAATTAGCAGATTATGTTATTAGACTTGTTGGAAAATGACAAATTTAAAGACCGTATTTATCGCAGGTAAGTGGCAATAAGAATATTTTATAAGCCATTATGTAGGTTGATATCTGTTATGATAACATCACGACAAGTATTAGGTTGAATTAGTCGCTGTGTAGAACGTAACAAATAATAATCTTACCACGCAGACAAGACAACCAGCTTGAATGGTATCCAACTTCAGAATAGGCCACAAAAACTCTCGGAATGCTATTCGATGATCGTCACTCACCAATTTCAAGCAATTATGATTGCGGTATGAAGGGTTTAACCTCATATAACATGATAGGTTCCTACCAACAGAGAATCACTGTGACGAAATATTTGAGTTTCTTTTGATTTCCAGTGGTTCTTCATTTGATTTTAACTGGTGATCTTATAAAAACAGATTTTCGATTAGACAAAAATAAAACAGACTTATAGGAAGCTAAAAACCGACAATATTCACTAAATCTTGTAACAGATACCTTCGGAAAAATATTCTTATCATTTCCTCTACTGATGCAATTATGAAATGCGCTTGGAACTTCCCCTGATTTTCCCCCATATTTATTTGAATTGGGAAGTTCGATATTATCTTAACAGATAGTTTTACATAACTCTTCTTTAAAATACCTTTTAATTTAACATATCTACAAGATCTGCGCTTCGGAAAGCAATTATGGGTTATTATTCGCTGATTCTGTTCTGATTATTCATAAAATCTTGAGTGAGATCTTAAGAATCGTCCAACTTATTGGATGAGAATGTTATCAAATGTGGTTCAGAGCTGAAACGAGAGATGGCCTCACCGACGCTTTCTTTTGTAAATACATAACATCAAATTTGACCACGTCAGTATGTAGTATATTTGTTTTTTAGATTTGATTTTGTTTAGTCCATTTTTAGTGCCTAGTTGTGCTGTTTTTTCTCTGCATTCTAATGACTAATAATAATAATGTTTCATTTACCGACAATAAAGACAAAACGAAAGACGAACTCAAGTTCTTGATATTCGATCACACTCATAGAAGAATAACTGATCAAGTTTAAAAACTAAACATATGGACCCGTGAACACGTTAGATCTTATCATACACACAAACTCAACTAAATATTATCCAGTGAAGACAACAAGTGATTTGACCCGCGTATGACATTAAAATAGTCATAACCAACTTTGTTTCTGTAGACGTACAGAAAAGTCGATCTAGCAGTGAATATAATCACAACAGAAACAACAAAACTTATTCTGGGATGACTTTTCTTACATTTTCCACGAACTGATCCAGTCCTTCAACAATAATAACGTCAGCAAATCCTCTTCCCATATGAACATGTGAAAACCAATGTATTAATGCATCTTCAGAAGGTAGGTATCTGTAGGTGATTAAATGTCTTCATTAGACACAAGAACGAAATAGTATAATGATATTATTTATTAATTCAAATAAAAACTTTCTGATAGTGCCACTAGAATATGTCACAAGGATTTATATTAGTTTCGAGTTTAACCTTATGTGTAAGTGCTAGTGATACTACATGACTGTCTGAACAGAAGAGGTACAGTTTGAACCTGTGACTAACTGGGTGAGAGTCTCATGATTTAAACACCGAACCATAACTCTGGTAGAAATTGAACTTGTACTCACTGGTATTTGTTCGGTACAAAAGATTATTGGCGCGTCATATTGCTCTCTCATGCAGTCCTGTGATATCATAACAGACAGATATCAGACTTAACTAATGAAAATAACACTAGGGACGATGCTTTGCACAGCCGAGCAATATATAGCTGTTAATGAAAACAAAATGGTTTCTTGGAGAAGATTTAAGTGCATTTTATTTCCTACTCGTGCTAACAACCTTAAACTTCTCAAAGTTGTAGAGGATTTAGTTTTTAACACAGTCAATTTTGCTCAATCGAGATAACGAATTCACAAACTCACACAAAATGGACATTATCCCAATTAGATGTAACGAGTTTACTGCAACCATGAACGTGAACGAAATCATATTTTAAAATAGCCTCTTTTCGGATAAAAATTGTGCGTAACTGCCGCGTTACAGCCTCATTTGCAATGTTGAGCAAGAGCGTTGTGATGAGTGACGATACACTGAAACACAAATAGACAAACCTTATATTTAACCATAAATCAAAGCTATTGATAAATATTAAAATCAAATAAAGTGTACATTTCTAAGAAGAAAAATAATTGCCACTCGACTTCGACATATTAAATACTTGAGTAGTTTACTGTTTAAGTAGCCTGTTGTGTAGGAACACTGCAAAGACTTAAATCTATTCGGCACTGAACATCAGGCTATTAAGTAAATTACGTGGTACCGATACTCTGAAGCAATGAACACAAATTTGGTGACATAGACTTTAACCTATGACAGTAGTAATAATGTCTTTACTCACTGTCCTCTAAATTTCGAACATTTCATTATTCTTGCGTTCCCCTTATAATATGTAGTTCTTTGAGCTAGCTTGATATATGCCTATCCATTTTGGTTTTTCCTGGGCTTTTTAGTGTAGTCGCCGAAATTGAAGCATCTTATTGCGAGTTCCAATAGTTTGAATACGGTGGCCAAAAGTTGAGACCTAGGAGATTCACACAAACCAACTCGCTAAAAACACGCTAACCAGAAGAAATAATTTAAACCATTTAAACTCACGGATCCAGAATCATCTAAGCATCATTCAAAACAAAGGAGGGAATTACAATGAATGTTGTCCAGTGTTATGCACCCACCAATGAAAGCAACGACGACGATAAAGATCAATTATACGATAAGTTGCAATCAATCATAGCGAAGTGCCCAAGGAAAAACTCACCATTCTGATGGGAGATCTAAACGCCAAAGTCGGAGTAAACAACACCGGATATGAAGATATCATGGAACGACATGGACTGGGAGGGAAGAGAAACGAAAATGGGGAAAGATTTGCAAATTTATGTGCATTCAACAAATTGGTCATCGACGGCATAATATTCCCATACAAACGTATACACAAAGTTACATGGATCTCACCACACTACAGAGAACCAGAAAGATCATAATTGCATCAATAAAAAGTTCCGAAGGACAATAAAAGATGTAAGGACCAGGAGATATAGCTTCAGATCACCACATAATCGTGGCCAATCTAAAACTGAAGCTAAAGAAGCACTGGACAAACAGCACTATAAAGGTTCAATACAGACTTCCTTCGAGATACTAACAAACTCAACGAATTCAAGATATCTCTCAACAACAGGTTTCAAGCCTTACAGAATCTACTGAAGGAATAAAAAACTACTATGGAGGACAAGTGGAAAGGTATCAAAGAAGCATTAACTTCAACGTGTCAGGAGGTTCTAGGCCTAATGAAGCATCATCATAAGGAATGGATCTTTATAGAAACACTGAACAGGATCAAGGAAAGGAAAAACAAAAAGACAGCAATTAACAACAGCCGAACACGAGCAGAGAAAGTCCAAGCACAAGCTGAGTATACAGAAGCAAACAAGCACGTGAAGAGCCAACAAGCAGATACGTGGAAGAACTAGCAACGATTGCAGAAAAATCTGCGAGAAGGAAATGTGAAACTACTATATGATACAACGAAGAAACTAACAAAGAAGTACAGTAAACCAAAGAGACCGGTCAAAGACAAGGAAGGCATCAAGATTCCAAAGAAAGGAGATCTGAGCAAATGTGAAAACTACAGAGGTATAACACTACCGTCAGTACCAGGGAAAGTCTTTAACAGAGTGCTGCTGGACCGGATGAAAGACGCAGTATAAGCCCAACTTTGAGATCAACAGGCTGGATTCAGTAAGGGTCGGTCGTACACAGACCGAATCGCGACACTACGGAACATCGTAGAGCAATCAATTGAGTGGAACTCGTCACTATACATCAACTCCAATGATTACGAAAAGGCGTTTGACAGTGTGGATAGAACATTATGGAAACTTCGACACTATCGAGTACCTGAGAAGATTTTCAACATTATCAGGAACTCATACGACGGACGACACTGCAAAGTCGTGCATGGAGGACAGCTGATAGACGCATTCCAAGTAAGGACCAGAGTCCCACAAGGCTGTCTACTCTCCCGCTTCCTCTTTCTTCTGGTGGTCGATTAGATTATGAAGACCTCGACATCTGAGGAGAGCACGGAATACAATGGACAGGTTGAATGCAACTAGACGATTTGGACTATCCCATACACATCAACAAATGCAGGTCAAGACAAGCAGTGTAGTAGCAGCCTCAGAAGCAGTAGGCATCAACATACACAAAGGAAAAAGCAAGGTTCTCAAATACAACACGAAGAACACTAGCCAAATCAAACTTGATGGCGAAACTCTGAAAGATTTGGAATCCACGTACCTGGGAAGTATCATCGATGAGCAAGGAGGATCAGATGCAGACGTAAAGACGAGGATTGACAAAGCAAAGAAAGCATTCCTACAATTAAAGAACATATGGAACTCCATTGGCCGGATACCATCAGCAACAGCCAACAGCTTCCAGCTGAGGAGGAAATTAGGAAAAGACGACGGAAATGGAAAGAACATATATTACAGAAATCACCAAGCTGCATCACGAGAAAAGCCCTAACTCGGAATCTTGAAGAGAAGAGGAGAAGAGGAAGGCCAAAGCACACATTACATCGGGAAATAGAAGCAAATGTGAAGAGAATGAATAACAGCTGGAAGGGGTTGCCCACGACAGGGTTGGATGCAGAGGGCAGTTGGTCGGCCTATGCTCCACCATGAAGAGTAACAGGCGTAAGTAAGTAATATGCGGTAGCATATTTGATTTCTTAGTGAAACGAATAGTCGAAATTATCCGTATAATAAAAGGCATTTTTACGGTACGTGTATTATTAATAGTCTCTAATAGAAAGGATAATCCTTCCAATTTTTGAATGCTCTTAGTCACAAAGTTGTGAACATATATTGCAACGAATTGGTATTTAATTCAGGTGATTATTTAAAGCAAAAACTGATTTGCATTGTATGAGATTAGTTCGCTTAATGAGTTGGTCGCCTATTGATTAAAGCATTTGACTTTCATCTACTAGGTTGCAAGTTCAGATTCTGCGATACTTACTTTAGTTTAGACAAATGATTAGTATTACTAGCCTTTCACAAAAGTCAGTGCTATAGATTAAATACACAACCGCCCTCAAATGCCCTGGTACGGTCGAGGGTGGGGAGAGTCAGCTTTCCTTCACTAAATGCTCTCACACGGTCACGCGTATACAGCCACTGTCAGAGAACTACTCACCGCCTTCTTGCGGCGGGGGTGTTGTTTACGAAATCGAGAGGACAAAAGTGAATGTTCAGCGTTTAAACCGGGCTGATGGATATGAAGGATCCACCCTGGGGAGTTGGAAAACCCTGATTCCAAACCAATGGTGCACATGAGCTCCAGGATCCTAAGGAAACAAATGGCGTATGAACCAATTGTTGGTCACCAGTTACCATGGGACTGCATCTCCGTACCTTGCTCCACTGCCTTGTGGATCAGACCTTTAGGTCAAACGCTCCGAGTGTGATCCTCCAAAGAAACTACCTGCTCCAGTCTGGGCACCCGAGCAGTATCATAGCCCACACACAAATAAAATGAAATGACAATAATGACTGGAAATACTGTTCGTGCTGCAATTAAAATTCAGGCAACTCACATCCATTTTAGTGTGGCGCATATGTATCTGGTGCCCCTTTGTACCAATATTTATGTGTTCAAGTAGAAATAACAAAAAAATAAAGAATACAATAACTCCTTGATTAGCTCCCTGACATCAAAAGATTCTGGCAACAATATCACTATATTCACCATATCCCATACAAGTAGACTACAGAGGCCGTTTGCATAATGATGACACTACAAACGGTAGTAAAAATCAGATATCATGCTAACTACAGTTTATGGCAGGTAATTCTGAAAGTGAGACCTACAATTTGTTTTTATGCTATTACAAGAGATGTAACTTGGGTAAATTAATGTTAACCTTAGTTGGCCAAACTATTCACATGAGATATTACCCAAGCAACCAATAAAGGGGAAATAAAGGCGAACAAAGAAGAAATAAAGGGGAAAACGCGCCAAAATGTCGCCTTTTTCGCCTGTCCGGGGGAAATAAAGCGGTTTTCCCCCTTTTTGTTGCTTCGTCTATAAATTGCCCACTTCTTGCCTAAATATCCGCCGATTGGTCTAATTTTCGCCTAAATTCAGTGTACATACCGAACTTACCGTTACCACCGAAGTGAAGATTAATGATAAATTTTAAAGGATTACGTTTGAGTAGAAATATTCACATACTTTCATTAATAATAAACTGCACGTTTTGTGATTCACGCACAAAAATGCTGTACGAAATAACCCTCATCGTTGTTAAGAAAATGTAAAGTTCGGCAAGTATATTGTATTTATAAGAATTTAAATTACCTTTCAGGATACTTTTGGGTCTCATGAAAAATTATGGAGCTAGGTGCGTCCGAATATGAACACTGCATCGATACAGGGAATAAATACTCCATCTCATTAGGTTTATTCAGTTATCACTTTGATACACTCCACCGTATATGTAGATCTAGGTTGAGGGTAAATATTATCCAAGTCGAGAATTACATTATGGTAATCTGAATAACATGAAGTATTGTGCCTTGAAAAAGAATTCTAAGCATAGACTATGGCACATAGACGAACAAATGAAGTAAAGCACACAGTGGTAAAGTGCGTCATTCCCAAGCTAGACATAACTCGTCTTTGCGACCTTGAACGATCAAATTAACGGCGGGCATTCTGTATTTTAGCCGCACGTGGTCGAATGCATGAGTCATAATTTTAAGGTATTTGCTTATTCACATAGTCTTTTGGTGTCTGAAAACCACCATGAAATTCATTCAACCATATCTAATGTGTCCAGTATGATATCACATTCAGATTTGTGTAGTAAGGACAGAAGACCTACAGTCTATATTATTCCCCTTCCAGTATGCTCCTGTGTCTAGTCTTCTCTTGAATGAGTCAATTTAGGTTGCGGACGCTACTGCTTCGGGTAACAGGTTCCAAGGATTGATTACTCGGTGTGGAAATCTGTTTGCCACGGATATTTCATTCGTTCTTGGCTTTTTTACTCACCTGCTATATCCTCAGTGATAGCCCTATCTAGTGGGAAGGAAGAGAGAGGTCCGAAACCATTTCTTAGTATTCTATGGATCAAAACCAGATCACCACTTAATCTGCGGTAGGATATAGTAAAGAGGTCTAGCTTTTCAAGCCATCCTTTACATTGTAAACCCCTGAGTTCTGGGATTGCATGTGTAGCTGCCCCTTGTACTGTCTTCGGGGGGCTTGCAGCCAGTCACGATAGAGTATAAACTGATTGGTTTCTTTGCGCTCTCCTTGTATTTTCGGCACTGCTCCAAGGATTGTTAATGTCCAATGTGTGGTATTCTAGCTTCTAGATCTCACTAATTGTAGTCATTCTGACAGTCGTTAGTGGAGCGCTCCTGGGTGTTCGCTCTTTGATATCCGCAGCATTTTGGCTTTATAGCTGATGCCCGTTCGTAATGGAAACTTTTACAGTAACGTCTAATACTAACACATCGATCACTTATGTGCACCACTTACATACTAATTTTAGACGAGATTTTTTAAAATACTAGATATTAAACTCTAGCGATAAACGAACCACCGAAATAAATAGTTCTGTAAGTCTTCTATATTGATGCTGACCTCATTAGTTTTATTGGACACGACCTAGATGGAGGCGCTCGGTCATGTATACACATAAGACAACGAGTGAGTATGCCTCTCTACACATCCCTTGCAACTAATAACAGGCTTAGACCTAACGCCTCCAAAACCCTAATTCAGCGACGAAACCAGCGTGAAGATTTACATCACGGCGCTTCTCGTTCCTTTTTGGCTCTATTGTTCATCTTAGTTTGGATCGACAAACCATAAGCCAGACTTATAGCATCCGACTGTCGGTTGGTTTGTGCCTTGACCGGAGGTATTTTGTAGTAAACTGTTTGGACAAATGTATGTAAGAACAATCTGCTAGCACAAAAAATGTCAATGAGGGCACAATTGCGGTATAATATACTGACGGTCGTGAGAATGGAAAAGTATAACTAACATGAATGAGGGGGTGGAAAGATGGTTTCAATTCAAATATGCTCCATGTTCTGCCTCGTCTCAACAACGTCGTGGAGATCAGTACATGGCGGAACTTTTGTATATGAAGTGCCTAACGTCGGTTGCGTGTGTCAAAGCTGTCATATACAAGTAGTTTCTCGATGTCTTTAAACACTAAAACGTCGTAAAAAGTCACTCGAGGTGCATAATATTTCTTTTCCAGTGTGAACACTGGATCTCTCGTTTCTATGTAGCTGTTCATTGAGAAACTATCACTATATTCGTTTCATTGTAGATAGTATTGGTTTCATAATACAATGTTGCATAAATAATAAAACCCAATTCCATAGACTATTTCTTCATATTATTGACATTTCCAGAAAGTTGGGGGGAAATGTTCAGTACTCCTAGCTAAGCCTCCGGTTTTAGGAGTGCTCCGGTTGATATGAGTGAAAAGATTAAACGGTTTATGCAGCACAAACTTTTCATACTTTAAAATCATTTCCAGATTTTATCTTCTAGCTCTGTAGAGTATCTCCACATAATATTTGTGTTTGGAAAGACACGGCGATCAGAAATTGATAAACAAATAAATGTTCGTTGGTGCAAAATTTACATCCGACGCGAAACAAAAGCCTCAGAGAAAAAAATCGTTAACAAACCGCTGAAACTACAAACTGAGAGTTATAACGTATGTTAGTCAGTCTATGTTTAGTATAACCTTTTATTCCGAAAAGTATTTCGCCAAGTCATTCAGGATGGTACACAATCATCAGCATGATAGCTGACAAATGGCTACTATTTCATACCTTAGAAGATGGTCGTCAGAGGAGAAGGAGAAGTAGGAGCCTGTTCTCTTTTGATCGTTATCGCCCAACGTTGTAATAGAACATGTAATGTTTCTCACTGGCAAAAAATAACTGTTACTAAAGTCAGAGCGATGAAGGGGATAATAGCCGTCCGTGAATACGTTATATCTTCCAGTTGTAGCACTGAGATGTTTTAATACAATACTGATTTTTTAATAATAAGTATGTTTTCTGTGAAATCTCAATGAGTAGAAAATTATATTTCTGACGTTCCGTTGTTTGATTTAAGTTACCTCTTCAAAGTAAATAAATCTTTCTACATTATTCCGAATTCCTAGAACATTAGTCTCGACCTTACTCGCAGAATTCTCTTCCACTTGGATCATGGATAGAGTGCGAATGGGACAGTTCTGTGTCTTACGAGTCGACACTCGAAATTCATTCACTTCTGTCTATCACAGACACATGGTCAAACGTCTTTATCATGCTCCGATGGGATGATGAAGTAAGAGGATATCATGATGACTGTTGCACCTTCATGCCAGTCTATCATCACGATCGTGACCAGATGAGGCTGTACCATACTACTTTGTATTAATTCAAGTTGCAGTACCAAACATCGAAAGTGATACTGCGTGATTAGTTATACTGTGTAAGTACTCACCATTTGAACTGATAATTGCGTATAACTTCGGTTTAGAATATCCGGTCTGTTCGGTTTGTCAGTACTGTTTATAAGCGTACGTTTTCATCTGGAACTTCATTTTAAATATGTAAAACTATCTGTATATATCTCTGTGATCTTGTTGCACACCGGATGTAAAAACAAAGTGGCTCAAGTTGAGAGCTTCAGATGACATTCCTAAGTAAATTTATCTCTAATATGAACGAAAGGTTTCCGGATATTGCACAAATATCTACTTGTTCTGCCAACACCAAGAGTATCTTCAGGCCGGATGCAGGCGAAACTTTCAAACCGGTTATAACTATAGTGATTGGAGATAACAAGACAGTCAAAAAGGCCGATTTCACAATATAAAGCTTTGTACAGTTTTGACATGTATTAAAATCAGTTCGAAGTGTTCTGAGAAGCTTTGAAAACCTTAAGCCTGGATTTTTCGGTTCTGGCGTTTACCGATTCATCGGGTTCATATGAAACACCTTTGAAGAATCAAACTTTCAGCCTAAGATGATTTATCACTGCCTAAAATTCCAACCGACAACCGCTGTCTATCATAGTTCGTGTCTTAATTCCTTCTCTTAGCGCAGTAGTTATAGTTGGCATCAGTACTGGTGACGTAAAAACATCTCATTTTAGTGCAATATCTGCGAATGTTTTAATAGAGTTTTAAGAAATGCTGACTTTAGGCTTGAGTAAGAGTATTGACTAATTTGTCCAAAATGTTTATTTGGTACCTATGGTCGACTAATTAATGACACGATGATAGTGAGATAACAACAGGGAAGAACCGTTGTAGACTGCTGATCCCAAATGCCGTTTTCTCAAGCTAGCTCGGTAACCAGGGACGCAACACAGAAGGAAGATTCCACTTAAACAGTTTTTTTCATGAGAAAGATCTGACTACGCATCGAAATAACTACGAGGTTACGGTATCGGTTTAACTACGTCAGAAATGAGAGAACTGAGCTATAAATCAGTAACAGTTTAACGGTTACTCAAGAAAGGTACAACGCACGGCAACAGTTTATTTATCACGAAAAATATTACAAGTAGGAGAATTTAAAAATTGCAATTTACTAATTGTATGACAAAAATATGGACAATGGCTTTTAGTCGGATAGTTCCAAAAGTTCAAATTTACCAAGTATTAATCTCACTATGGCAAAAATGGCTGCATTTTTTATAGTGTCAGTAAAAATTACAAACACATTAGCTCTTTGCTGTGAAGAAAAAACGAATACGACGAAAGTTTTGGTGAATTCAGGAAAAAATCTAACCTGGCTAAACATTGTAGGATTATCTGCAGGCGGTTTGTAGCGCTCCCAGAGAGCAAGCGGGAATCTTAAGTAGAGTTGGCGAATATTTAGGAAGACGTTGACGTCATTTCTTTGAAAAAACTAAGACTTGAGCGAACGCTATGTTTCATATTGAGAACAAGTCAATCAATCTGTGATATAGATTGTCTTCCTACGCTCACCACTCAGACTCATGTTTCCAATTTTATGCCGGATTAGCTATTCTACTAAGACAACCTATAACATGCTAACTCGGACTTTTACGCTAGGATTGTGTGGCTGGTATTAGATGGACAAAAAAAGAAGAGAAAGAAAAAGTTAGACAACAAAAGATATAGTCATTAGTACTCTTAACGCTTCACCCTCTATATGCACACTCCCTTCTGATAAACCGCTTTCCTTGTACCAACCTTGACTTCCCTTCCTTCATGTGAGCTTACTACGACATGTCAAACATCACAACTCATTGTTCTTTATTACTACATTCTCTTATATGGAGCCTCTGACTTCATTTCACTCTAACAAGAGATAATGTGAATTTAATCTAATTTATTATACCTCTGCCTGTTCTACTACACAATGTTAAGCAACGTTTGACGTTTATATCCAAGTGCCTTGCTACTCTTCTGTTTCTCTTTTTTTCTTCCTCAGAATCTTGCTCTGAAGGCACAGCTATGAAACTTCTGACGTCTGAAACAAACTTGACGTACGCGTCTCCTCAGGGTCATGGTTTACAGCAAGCGCTCCACGAGTCTACTTTATAACAACTATAAACTTAATAAGTTGGGAAGCATGTTGTGCACCAACAAATGTTGTAGTTTATAGATCATGCCTGTAAAAATGGCGTGTATCTGCACATG